AGCACTTTTGAGGAAGGAAAAGCCCTCTGGACAGGCGAGGAGAGTGCTGTAGCTGGTTGTAACATGTAGCCCTCCGCCCCACTAGTTATGGACTTCTGATAGGCTAGATGGGCAGCTGCCAAGTCTGGGACCCAGCAGTTCAAGCCACTGGGCAATGAGTCTTCCTTTAGTTCTGGGCCCCCAGATGTGAGCAGTGAATTTAGCAGGCAGTTACTGTCCCCGTTCTCTATGATGCAGTGGTGGTGATATTTACACATTACTCAGATTCATGGGAGCCTCATCTCCATCTGGTCTATGTTGGCAGCTTCCGCTGTGCAGTCAGAGACCTCTCCCCTGACCACTCTCGAGGGCAGGGGTCACATCTTCCTGGTCTCTTTGTCCTCAGAACCTTGCCTCATGCCTGCCATGAGGCTCCTCAGCGGCTGTGCAATGAATGCTGCTTGTACGAGTGAAATGGGGAATGTGGAATGTGAGAAGCAAACCTCACTGGGGCCCAGGCTCTCTCATCCATCATCCCAGCAGTTTCTGGGTGCCGCGTTGCTATGCTAAGTCTTCGCATTGCTTCATGTTACCATCATGCTGACTCTGTTACCACCTCCTCTGAGGACAGGTCATCTTGGCTGACAGAGGACTTGCAGCCCTACCTGTCCCGAGAGCTGCTGAAGGGCAAAGCTGGGCTTCACACTCAGGTGGGCAGATGCCAGAGCTCCCATACTCGGGTGTTCCGTGTTGTTTTCTGCATGCCTTCCATGAAGTTCCCTTGTACGAAACCTCCACTTTGGAGTTCACTCTGGCTCTGGTCAGGGCCTCAGATAGGTGGGAGGAGGCCATTGCCATGCAAGCGCTGACTCCTGGTTCCATGACTTACCAGCTGCTTGGCTTTGGGCAAATTGCTGTAAATCTCTGTGCTGTAATCGGTTCTTTTATGACTTGGGATGGAGCATCTCTGTTGGGAAGCTGCTAACTAGGCAGTTGCTCCAATTCCTGCCCTGCTTGCCTGGGGCTGTTCCTGCTGGATGGTCCCTCCGGATGGTCCCTGCCTTGCCAAGTGAGCACAGTAGTGGCATGGAGAGGCAGAGCTCACCTAATTAGTGTGGGTGGGCTAGTTTTTCCTGAGCCTGGCCAAATTCTTAGTAGGCATCTGATTGCCTGCCAATGCACATGGCTGCCACAGAGTTAATCCACTGCCCCAGGGAAGTTTATTCAGCTGGCTGAGACGAGCCTGGGACTTGGGGACACACAGTCCCTGTGATTTGCTGCCCCTGTCATCAGAAACATTACTGCCCTGCCACAGCGTGGGGCACCATGAAGGCATGTGCATTGGCTCAGAACCCACCTCTCTGTCAGGTGGGCCACAGGCCTTGGTGTGGTTGGTCTTGCATGTGGATGTTCAGCCAGGACCCACAGGCTTCTCCCTGCATGAAACCAGGTTAGGGGGGCAGGGGCCTAGACTTAGAGAGCTATTAGCGCAGATTTATACAAATGTGTGTGTGTGTGTGTGTGTGTGTGTGTGTGCAGGCTCAAGGGGACTCCCCAAAGCTCATGGAAGAACAGAACTAAAAGTAATTTATTTGGTGCCAAACGTTTTTGAAATCCATGCATGCTTTATTCATAATGTACATTTCTCATGAATGATTTGAAGGTCCCTCATATGCAAGCATTTTAATCTTTTTTGGCATCAAAATAAACTTACCCTTTAATTCTATTTTCTGTGAACTTCTTGAAGTATCCTTGTGTGTATTTCTTTATAAAAGCATGATAAAAGCTCATTGCAGAAAATTTAAAAAATACAAAAGCATTTGAAATTACCCTTGATCCCATGACTCAAAGCAAACTAATATTAGTGTATAGATATGTTTTCATTTTTTCTACTTGAGTACTTTCATGCATTTGAAATTACATTGTACGTTCAGTCTGGCATCCTGTTTTTTTTTTTTTTTCCGTGTAACTCGTTTCCATCTGTTCTAATTATAAACCAAATTATAAACCGAACACTGTGACTTGGCCCACGCTATTGTCACTTTTGTCTGCTTCCCCATGCCAGGTCCTGTTCATGGCTGGAGGGGCAGAAATCTGGTGGCAGCTAGTGTTAGAGTGCGCCTGCTGACTGCTGGGCCGGGGTCCCACACTCTGCAGGGCTAGCTCATCCTCACACGGCCTTGGGGAGGGACTACTCACTTAGGACAAGGAGAGAGGGGTTTTTGAGGCATGGGAGGAATCATTAACACTGCCCAAGTGCTGTTCTAGTCCATGCTGTGTTCTTTTTTTTTTTTTTTTTTTTTTTTGACAGGCAGAGTGGACAGAGAGAGAGAGAGACAGAGAGAAAGGTCTTCCTTTGCCGTTGGTTCACCCTCCAATGGCCGCTGCGGCCGGCGTGCTGCGGCCGGCGCACTGCGCAGATCCGATGGCAGGAGCCAGGAGCCAGGTGCTTTTCCTGGTCTCCCATGGGGTGCAGGCCCAAGCACCTGGGCCATCCTCCACTGCACTCCCTGGCCACAGCAGAGAGCTGGCCTGGAAGAGGGGCAACCGGGACAGAATCCGGCACCCCAACCGGGACTAGAACCCGGTGTGCCGGCGCCGCGAGGCGGAGGATTAGCCTAGTGAGCCGCGGCGCCGGCCCATGCTGTGTTCTAAGCACTTGGCTTCTATTACCTTGTTGACCTGGCACTACAGCCCATCTTACAGATGGCTAAACTGACAGACACGGATGTTTGGTGGCTCACTTAGGACATGCAGCCAGGGCTGGCAGGTGAGGAGAGATGCCCTGTCCTGAAGCTGGTGCTCCTAACCCTCATGGTGCCTGCCTCTCTCCAGGCAGGTGCTGGGTCTCAGTGTTGGGGACTGGTGCCATCCATTGATTGATTGATTGGTAGGAGAATGAGTCCCTTGGATATAGTATCCTACTTGTCAGGGCATGGAAGGGTTGTGTGTATGTGTGTGGGGGACAAGGCCCACAGGAACGCAGCCCATGAGTGGGGCTGTGGAGGACAAGTGGGACCCCTCTGTGGAGACAGTGGGCCTGGCCCTCTCCACAGAGGCAGCAGGCTGTGCTGGTGGAGGAGAGCTGGCAGCATGTGGGCCAGAGTGCCCTCCCGAGGCCCCTCAGTGTGTGCGCTCCTCCTGCTGCAGGAGCGCTCGCTCAGAGCCTGCCCATGCTTCCTGCCCATCCCTGGCTGTGTGAACCGGGCAGCTGACACAGTGGCTGCCATTTACAGACTGTGCTCTAGAAACAGCTTGGAGAGGATGTTGGGAGGTGAGGTTTTGCAAGGCCTTGGTGTCTTGTCTGATATGGGCTGTGCTTAGGAAGGGGGTGGCTGCTGGTGTGGCTCATGCACAGGCCATGGAGGCAGTCAGCTTGTATTTCCAGTGTTCTTGGGGCCTTGGAACTGGCCGTAGTAAGCAGGGTCCACTTGGCTCTCTGTCACCTGGCATCTCTTATCCATTCCATTCCTGAATGGATTGACCGGGCTAAAAAACAAAAAAGTGGAGTTCATTAAAATCCATGTAATATCTTTATAGACTTCCTGGGTTGCTGGAGGGTCTCGGTCCCATCCGTGGTGCGGGAGGAATGGCATAACTTCCGTCTGGAGCTGCTACAGCACCCAGAGCAGGTGTCCCGGGGTAGTTTGGACCTCAGGGTTGCGGTGCAGACTGGAGAGTAGGAACACACACAGGCTTCAACGATCTTTGTGGGCTAGGGCAGTGCCTTGCCCACCAAAGATAGCTGCTGTGAATGTCTGAAGTCCCCACGTGCTGCGGCTACACAGGAGACAGACCACAAAGCCAGTGTGTGAAGGTGGTTTTGAGTGTGACATCTGTTAAGCTGTGCCACATGCCAAGATCGTGCTGGACACAGCACAGGACCAGAATCCTCCTCCTACTAACCATCGCTGGCTTCTCTTCCTCCCCTCAAGTCTCTCTGAGAAGGTTTTCTCGTGCTGCATACCTGGACCCTAGGCTCTGCAGTGCACTGCCCAGGAGCCATGACTGACCCACCCTGCATATGCTCAGTGTGTCTGTGTCATTCTGCTGGCTGACGGAACACTGGACCTCACTGCTCAGGGCTGTGCGGCATCTGTGCTTGCCCCTGTGAGCAGGAGGGCAGTGGGGCTGGGAGCTTCTCAGTGGAGCAGAGTTGGAAGCGGACCTTGTGGCACAGCCATTGGAGGTTGTCAGTTTTCCCAGGTGTGCTGGCTGCAGAGAATACTGGGCCCTGGTTGGATGTCTCACATCTCACTCCCAGTTACTAATGAAGGAGGGATGGCCGCTTCCCAGGCCACACTGGGTGTCCCCTGTGTCTCTTCCTGTCCTTCCATAGGGTGCCTTGCTGTGAGTGATGATGACTCCACTCTATTCTCTGCAGAGGTCACCGTGTGCAACCTCTGCACCAGCCCCCGATGCAATGATGATGCCCCCCGCCCTGTTCTCTGCAGAGGTCACCGTGCACAGCTTCTGCACCAGCCCCTGATGCAGTGGCCGTCGCCCCCATGCTGTCTGCAGACAAACCGCAGCTCAGGATTTACCATTCTGCACGGTGCTCCAGGCCCAAGGCCGCTTCCTCGCTGGCCCTGCCTGAGGCTCTGCTCTTAGCTGTGTGTTTCTAATTCTGGATTCCTTTCTCTGAAGCAGTGTCCCTGCTTAACATGGGTCTGTTTCCCTCACAGCAGTACAATACAGAAAATGTTCATGGTGGAGACACTTAGCTTCACTTGCCAGAGCCACAGGCCTTCATTTCGTTTGCAGATCCCGTGGCTCCCCAGGAGGGATGGTGGCCTGGCCTTGGGTCTGTGCCTGGGTGTGACGCATTCTCCCTCCTCTTTGTGTCTTACAGCCTCTTCTGATTCAGGGCTTTTCCTAGGACTTTGCTCTCTGACATCTTGAATGGTTCTCACCTTTGTTTTTGGGCGTGTGCCAGAATTTCTCAGCCGGGTTGGTGTCAGTCTCATTGTGCCTCTGCTCTGCCATCACCATCAACATCACTATTGTTGTTATCATTGCAGAGAAACTGTATGGCAACTTCCTGAGCTGGAAGCTGGAAGAAACCCTCGCCCAGTTCCCCCTGCAGCCTGGGCAAGCAGCCACCTTCACTGTCACCATCAAAGTGAACCTGGACTTCTCCTGCCAGGAGGGTCCCTTGCAGGACTTGAGTGATGGTAAGTGGCTCCCTCATTTCTGAGAGCTCACCTGCTCCCAGGTGTGTGTTGTAGTCAGCTCTCTGTGGCACCCACCACCGGTCATGTGACTCGCTCAACCGAGACCTTGCCCCTGCACTTGGTTAGCAGCGTGGCTTACTGCAGGCACATTATAGAGACAGTTTCTCAATTCCCACTCTTGACCATCTTGTCCTGATGTGCTAGGTGGTTGTCCTGAGGGAGTGGAATGCTGTGATTTTTCCCCCAAGTGTACCTGCTGTGTTGGTGGAACACACAGTGGTGATGATGGAGTTCTCCCATCTGGTGATGCCAGTAAGGAGACGGAGCTGGGGGCAATGGGAATTGTATCTGCTGCAGCACCAGGCCTGGCCGCGTGGGGACGTGAGTTCACAGGTTAGCTGTGTCAGGTTGTCACATGCTTTTCTGGAGGCCTTAGGGGTGTGTTAGTCAGCTCAAGCTACTGTAACAAACCCCACACCTGGCCTGGCCTGATCACAGGTATTGATTTTCTGACAGTTCTCAGCATTGCAAGTCTGACCCAGGTGCTAGCATGGTTGGGTCCTGGTGAGGGAGGCCATCTTCTTGCTGTGTTCTCATGGGGTGGAGACAGATCAGCTCTCTGGTATTTCTTCCCCTTCCTTTTATTTTTTTAAGATTTATTTATTTACTTGAAGGGCAGTTATGGGTGTGGGATGAGGGAGACACACAGGGACACATGTGCATGCACACACACACACACAAACACACAGAGGGAGAGAAGAAAGATTTTCCATCTGCTGGTTCACTCCCCAAGTAGCCACAATGGCTGGGACTGTGCCTGGCAGAAGTCAGGAACCTGGAAAACCATCTAGGTTTCCAGTGTGTGTGTCAGGGGCCCAAGCTTGGGCCATCTCCTGCTCCTTTTCCAGGCATGTTAGCAGAGAACTGGATCAGAAGTGGAGTAGCCAAGACATGAACTGGTGTTCACATGGGGTGCTGGGGACACAGGCGGTGACTTAACCACCTGTGCTGTAACACCAGCCCCAGTAAGAACATTTCAATCCTGTGTTTTAAGGACTTTAGAGTCCTCGTATACAGTGTGTGACTTTCATCTCCATGAACATGCTGTAAATGACAGACCCTCCTGTGGGTATTTTGGGTCTGGGTATTCCTGGGTGTGTTGCAGCTGCTGTTCCTTGTCCGTTCACCTGCCAAGAGGCATTTATGCATTTCCATTGTCTTGGCTGTGGTGAGCAGTGCTGCAGTGGACATGTAAGTGAAGACATGGCTCTGCCATATACATATATGTATTCTTGTATATATCACATACACACATATTCACATGCACAAATCACATACATATACACATGCATATCACACACATACATGTCACACACAGATATCACGCACATGTACATACACACATTACATACATGTACATATACACCTTACATGCACGTGTACATAAATCCAGATGTGGGCTGGTGGGGTCGTGGGAGAGCTTGAGTTGTTTTTAGCCTTTATGGACCCTCTGTGCTTGTTTTCAAAATGCTGTACTGACTGACGTTCCCCTGAGAAGTGTGCTAGATCCCTCTTTCTGCACCTGTGGCCTGGGTCTTTTGGTAATAGTGAGTCTGGTGGAGTGACATGCTGTCTTATATGGTTTTATTTTTATTTATCTATTTTAAAGATTTATATGTTTATTTGAAAGTTAGAGTTGGAAGAGAGAGGGAGGGACAGAGAGAGGGCTCTTTCATCTGGTGGTTTGCTCCCCAGATGGCCGCAATGGCCAAGCTGTGCCAGGCCAAAGCCAGGAGCCAGGAGCTCCTGGATGCAGGGGCACAAACACGTGGGCCGTCCTCCACTGCTTTTCCCAGCTCATTAGCAGAGAGCTGGATTGGAAGGGAAGCGAGTGGGACAAAAACCAGTGCCCAGGTGGGATGTAGCGTCTCAGGTGGCAGCTTACCCACAGTGTCACAACACTGGCCTCTCTGCTGCGATTTTAATTAAATTAAATTTATTTAAATTTAAATTTAAATTATTATTTAATTAAATTAAAATTAAACTAAATTAAATTTAATTTCTCTGATAATTGGAGATGGTTACTTGTATGTCTTCTTTCAAGAAGTGTCCATTCAGGGGATGTTTTCTTGTTACTGATTCATTTGAGTTCTTTGTATTAAGATAGTAGCCCCTCACCTGATAAATGATTTCAAATATTCTCTCAGTGTGTGTGTCAGTTCTCTACTCTGTTGCTTGTTTCCTTTGCTTGGAGAAGGATTTTCTTGTATGCAATCTCATATGTCTATTTTTTGATTTTGCCGCCCATGCCTTTGGGGTCACATCCAAGAAATTACTGCTCAGATCAATGCCATGGACCTTTCCCTCTGCATTCCTCTAGTCATTTTAGAGTTTTGGGTCTTATGGTTAAGAATTTATTTACTTATTGGGATATGTGTTTATGTATGTGTGAATGTGTACATATATAGATATCAAGTCTGTAGCACAAACCACTATCACAGGCATTTAATTTTAATTTATTTTCATCTTATTTGAAAGGCAAAGGAGGTTGAGAGAGAGAGAGAGAAAGAGAGAGAGAGGGAGAGGGAGAGAAAGGGAGAGAGCAGAGGGATCTCCCATTTTCTAGTTCACTCCTACAGTGCCCAAAATGGCCCCAGGGCTGAAACTAGGAATTAGGAACTAAATCCAGGTATCTGACATTGGTGGCAAGAACCCAGTTATTCGAGCCATCACCACTGCTTCCCAGGGTCTGCCCTGGCAGGAAGCTGGAGTCAGGAGCCTGAGCCCTGATGTGTGACATGGGTGTCCTAAGCACTAGGCCAGATGCCATCCTTTAGAAGGTGCGTGGCATAAGGACCCTGTCTCGTTCTGTCCTGTGTTCCCAGCGTTTTGGCCGTGACAGGCAAAGGGCTTTGTGTCTTGTGGTGTGGATCATGAACGGGTCCTCTTTCTCCTGCTTCTCCCCTGAGTGTGTGGGTTCTGAAGTTGTGTTCCTGTTCTTTCTTGTGAGCATGTCCCCCTCAGAATTGCCCCCAGCTTCTCTGGGGAGTTGTTGAAGATCTCAGAGTTCTCATCCGCGCATCTGTGGCTCAGCTCCCTGCACGGCCATTCCATTTGCTTTCCTGTAACAGGGAGCTTGTTGGGGTCTCTCCTGCTACTCTGTGTTGGGCGGCTGGGGCGGCTGGGGCTGCTGGAGCAAAGCACCACAGGACGAGTGGCTCAGGCAGCAGAAATTGCTTTCTCATGTCTGGAGACTGGGAAGGCCGAGACCACGGTGCTGGCAGAGCGTGTTTCCCGCTCACTGTGTCCTCACTTGGAGGAGGCCGAGGGGAACTCTGGTGTTTCTACCTCTTCTTATCAGGGGGAGACCCCACCCTCCTGAGCTTAGCCACCCCGGCCACCTCCCAAAGTCCTCGCCTCCTCATGCCCTCACCTTGGGGTCCAGGGCCTCAGCACCTGGATTTTAGAGGGACAGACAGTTCAGTCCACTGACAGCCTGCATAGAATTTGCTGTCTCTCTGCAGTGTTTGATGAACCATCAGGAAGTTCCTTCGGCTTGTGCTGGTGCTTAAGAAAACAATTTCTTTATGTTGTTCACAAGCAGGCTTAGCACTGGGTGCGTTAGCAATGGAGAAAGTCAAGGGGATGTCTTACCAGGCTTCAAGCATCAGATGCGGTGGATTTTCTCGGTTTGTGCGGTGCTCTGTGCCTCTGCACTGCGTGTTCCTCTCAGTGGGCAGTGGGTAAACAGATCCCTGAGTTCTCCCCCGAGAAGGGAGTTGGGCATAATGAGTGGTGCCCAGGGCCTGGGTCCTGGGCAGGCTCAGCAGTCAGACTCCCAGTGGGGATTATTTGTGAGCAGCAGGGGGCAGTACCACGTGTAAAGTCGTTGCCTAGGAACAGCATACAAGCTTCCAGTGGACATCTGAGCTCTGTGGGTTTTGGTGGCACCTTCAGTGTTCGATACTGACCTGCTTGGTGGTGTCCTTGCCTTGGTGTCTGTCATGGGAGAGGCTCAGGCATTCCCTCTGCCATCCTAAGTGGAGAACGAAGTGGCAGTTTGTGGCTCACATGTGGGAACACCTTCCTCTGGCTTTTGAAATAAAAGAAAATTAGAACTAGCATTTTGGATACCCTGTGGTTTGTAAAAGCAATGAGGGAGCCACACACCTATGTGGGACAGGACATGTGTGTGTGTGTGTGTGTGTGTGTGATGCCCCCCTTGCTGATCATGGTTAACAGAAGTGCAATGCTGATTGTTTGCACAGAAAAAGGCAGAACAGGCCAGGGTCATGGGAGAGCAAGGTGGACACCCAAGGACCGTGGGGATTTTGGTGCAGGCTGTGAATTATCACTTGCAGTTCCACCTGTGCAGTCACGAGGCCACCGTGAAGCCCTCGTCTAGGGAAAGCTTCAGGCTCGGGGGCAGAGGGTCATCTGTGGCCTCCTGCAAGCGGGAGCTGACCCTGCGGTGGCTCTCAGTCTGCCCCTCTCAGAAGCATTTAACTGGGGAGTTAACTCCATTTAACTGTGGGCCCTGTTTGCCCCTTGGCAAGGACTCACACGAACTCAGGCTTCTGGAATGAGGTGTTGCTGTTTGTTTTGCAGTAGGAAGTTGTGCTGGGCTCTTTCTTCCTGTGATTCCTGTTCACTGTCCCACCAACAAGTACAGCAGAGAGCAGGCTGCTGGATGCCGTGGAGGCATGGGGGGAGTCCCTGGTGCTGGACGTTGTTAGGTGCCCTCTCGCACCAACTCTGTAAGGTAGATACTGGTTTTCAGTCAATGCTTGATAGAAACAGTTAGAAAGACTGCTCTTGCTTAAAGATAGAAGAGAAAGAACAATCTAGTGCTATGCACTGTCCTTTTTTTAAAAAAAGATTTATCTTATTTATTTGAAAGTCAGAGTTACAGAGAAAGGTAGAGACAGAGAGAGAGAGATCATCCATCCACTGGTTCACTCTCCAGATGGCCGCACGGCCAAAGATACATGCTTTGCAAC